GGGGGGGGAGCCAAGCAAGGGACTTGTGGAGTTGGCGTGGGTGACCCGGTTCACTGCACCCCCTAAGCCAGCTCTGAGTTGGGGTGCAAGAGGACCCCACGAGACGAGGTCTGAGCAGCCTGCAGTCCCGGACAACGCACTCTACGTCACCTTGGGGCCTGGGGTGCCGGCCACGCCATTTGCTCCTCTGGGCCCTGAGCTCCCCGGCTCTCCCTGAAACAAAGACATTCACTAGGGAACGTGGGGCAAGCGGGGGTGGCCTCCCTCTGTCCCCTGCCGCCCCACCCCTGCCCCCTCCAGCCTGGGGTGCCCAGGACACAGCCACCACCTTCTGCTCTGGGTCTTGGCACAGAGGGGCAGCCTAGGAATTCATGCCAGAGGCTAGTTGGCGGTTGAGAGAGGTAAGGGGCAGCGAAGGGACAGGGTAGAGAGGGGGGCCAGGAGGTTCTGAGTGCATGGGTCGGGGGGTCACTTGAATGTGATGCCAACTCATTGGTGATGGGGCAGGGCCAGGCCCCCCTGCTGCACTCCTGGCCTGTCCCTGCCCCGTGACTGCAAAGGTCCCAGGACAGGGCCTTTCCCAGATACAGGGAGGTGGGCATTGGGGAGCAGGGGACCAATGGGGGAGGGGCATGCACCTACCTTGGGCCCTGGGGGTCCAGGGGGCCCTTGCTGGCTTGGTGCCCCATCGTCCCCCTGAGGAGAGAGCAGCTGAGGTCATGGTCTGGGCCCTGGGACCCCTGCTCACCCTCACCCCCCATGTCACAGGCCTCCCTCCAGAAGTTTTCAGAAAGGTGAGGGGCAGGAGTCCCATCCCGAATGCAGCTTCTTCCCGCTGCGACTCCTGCCCAGCCAAAGACTTGGTGTTTCCTCCTCAGAAACTCTCTGGCTTCTCCTGCCCTCCGCCTCAACTCCACCTGGGCTCTCAGACTACTCTGCAGATCTCTCTGGCCTTATGGGCCAGGCTCAGGAGTGCCCGCTGTGCCCTGCTCGACACACAGGCCAGGGAGCCTCTCCCTCCTCTGGACTCCCCATGGTGGCCCACTCAGGGGGCAGGGGTGGGGCCTGAGCCATCTCTGTCCCTTGTCCCCACCAGCCCAGGGCCAGCCTTAGCTGGCATTTGCAGGACTGCATGGGTAGTTGAAGAGGAGAACAACTTCATTCATTCTGCCAACAAAGACTTGGGGGCTTCGAAAGGCTCTTGGACAGATTCCATTGTCTCCTTGGTGAACCTTCTGAAGCCCCC